GATGCAGATAGTATGAAACCCAACAAATTAAAAAGACACTTGGAGACATTACACCCCACTCACGTCAATAAGCCACTGGAGTTCTTTCAGAGGAAACTTGATGAATACCGCAAGCAAAATGCAGTGTAAAACTCTTTATAGCCAAATATTTGAACTTGTTTTGTTTAGTTTTTCACAGGTTGCACTTTATTGTTATCTTGAAAAGATGTTTAGTGCAAAACAGGTTAATTGCAGCCAATTGCAATAAGCTATTTTTTGCCAAATTGTAGTTATTTTTTGCACAGATATAACTTTATTTGCATTGTTCTAACAAAGTGATTGCACATTTTATTAGTTTTTGTCTGATGGAGCAATCTGGTTTACTTAAGTGATTGCAAGTTTCTTTATTCTATTATTTGAAAAAGCACAGACGGAGGATAACGGAAATGTTATTTCAATAAAAATTCAACATAGACCATTTTGTTACAATTCTGTTGGGGCGGTGGGGCATGAACATTTTTCTTCCTCCAAAGTGGGGCGCGACAGAAAAAGTTTGAGAACCACTGCTCTAACGTAAGCTTGTTCTTTTGTAGCAGCTCTTTGCTCAACATACATCTCCCAGACATTGCTGATTGGCCAGTAATCTTCTGTGTGTGTGTGTGCGCAGAAGTTGTACATGTGAGAAGAATCCCGCTCATACTAGCTTAGGTAAACGTCCACGGAGACTGAGCCTGAATGGCAGTGGCGGGTCAGTCTGCAGCCTGCTGTCCCTGAAGTGTGCGTGCTAAGTGTGAACGCTCCCATCCAAGTTAAATATTGCCTTAAGCTCAGGTCTTACACATGGAGATAAAAAAATGAAACGAGAGTGCGAAAAACGGACGCGGAGGGACAAAAGGAGAAGAAAATGAGCCGTCCTGTTCCTGCCACCTTTGGAAATCCCTCCGTCAGCAGCTCGCAGATGGAATAACACGCTCCAAGCAGCGACTTGTTCAAAGTAAACACTCTGACTCAACAAACACAACTCCCCCTCGTATCTGCTCATTTCTCTCTCTCACACTCACACACACACACACACACACACGGCTGCTTTGTTACTCATCTGGGGAGACACTGACAGATTTGTGCCTTACATAAAAGCTCGATGATGTACACAGACAACATAAACACGGCAGCCATAATGAGCTAATACCACAAACACCTTTCAGCGCTTTTCAGACAGACAATGAGTGGGTTTTGCTTCTGCCGTGCTTAGATACCGGCCGGCTGAAAGAGTCCAGCAGGCAGAGGAACAAGCCTCTAACAATATAGCCGTTTCATATTACCATGACATCATGCGCTTCAGAAAAAAAGCCATCATTTGACCCGATGAACGGCTCATTCCAACCCAGCTAGCTGAGAAATGTTTAACCTCGTACAGTTTGGTAAAAAGGAAGATCGATAGTTGCTGTGCGGTCAGGAAGAGGTGGAGGGAGGTAAAGAAAGAAACACTAAAACAAAGACAGAGACTGGTTTGAATATAAATTCAGATTTCAACATTCAAAGACTTTGGCAGCGTCGGTTGTGTAACAGTTCTGCCAATACAAGTGTATTAAGTTCAACCGTAAGAGAGTGAAAGATGTAGGCACGCCATTGTTTTGCTCCATCTCAGTCACGTGTAGAAGACAGTTAAAGCATAAGTAACTTATAGCTGTCCAGAAAAAAGTTCAACCTGGCCATTTACACTTGTCCCGATACAAATTGTCCAATTTATTAGCAGTTATCGACTAACAACAAAGACCTAAACTAATTGTCATGTTTATTCTTTCTTTAAGTAAATCTTTTTACACCAACTAACTAAACTCCTGTTTCCAGGATAATTGAAATGCTCGCTTTGCGCTTCAGCTCATAAATACCAGCTCCAGAAACAAAAAACAATGTGTTTAATTCTGTTTGACCACTTGCCCGATCCAACAACTTAGTTGGCTCATTAGCCCGACGGGGCATTTTACTTGCCCCAGACAAGTGGAGCCCTGCCTGTCAAAAGCCTGAATCACATCACAAAGAGCCAATAAAAAAAAATAAAAAATCATGTTACTAAACACGTGTTATCAACTATTAAGAGGCACGAATCCAAGACGTGGAGCAGCAGCAGTGCAAACATCAAAGTGCTGCTGATGATACAGCCGCACCGGGATCTCTCATTGAAATGGATGAGGGGCCTCTGGGGAGCGGCACGTTGGATGCATTACGTGATATCAAGGGTTCAGTGATAAAATCCTGCTCCCTGCGGAATGCTGAGGAATCACCAGACAGTCAGTGGTTGAAGAAGTCGGCCTTGGTTTGGACACAAATTGCCGTTGATATGGGCCTTCCCACAATCATTATCAATGTTTTCAGTGAAAAGCCCGACGCGACAGCCACATTAAAATCACATTATGCGATTAAAAGCTGGAATGCTGCTCATCAGACGGGCCACTCTCTCGAGGCTGACATCTCTGGCCGCCTGAACTTGTTGCTTGAGGAGACAAAAAAAGAAAAAGCCCAGAATCAGACTCTCGCTATGTCTGTTAATTACCTTCACATTCCACCAAACGCCAGTCTTGTTTGATCTGCTCCACCTTGGCATTGGGTTGGAAACCTGACTCACATTCTCGCCCGTGACAGAAAAGCCCCTCGAGGCCTCGTACCTGATGTAGTCTGAGCGAACGCACCAAGTGTCCAGGGAATGCTTGCCTCGCCCGCTTCCAAGGTTCGCCTGAATGCACCCCCACCGATACCCAGCCCCCCCCCCCCAACCACTTCAAAGACCAACGACTTGGCTAAACTTTATACAAAGCCTTGGCTAAAGCTTCCACCTTAAAGTGGCAGTGGGTTGAGATAAGAAGGGCAACGAGACCAAAGACACTTCCAGGATTCTTTCATTGCAAGCTGTTCGGTAGATTTATAAATGACAGAAAGGGTAGAAAGGGTGAGCTAACGAGGTCCACATGCTTTTTTTAAGCGTGCCATGTTTGCTAATCAAAAGCAGCAGGCTGGCACAAGATAAAAAGCCGTCGGCCTTCTCGCTCTCCAAAACCTCGCTTTCAGACCGCCGATGGATTATGTTTCAGGCAAAAAAAACTGGAAGGCCTCGCCACTCGGTCACGCTGCTCGCCGTGTAATCGGCTCGCTCTTTTTCTGCTCCTAATCAGCGCGTCTCATTTAGGGCCGACTGTAAAACCGCAAGCGGGCTGGTCTATCAGAGGTGGCGGTTTGTAGGCCATTATGCTTTCATGGCACGGGGCTGGATAAGAAATCGGAGCAGGCTGGATTTCCTTTATCCAACATTTGGTCTCTGGCTAACATGAGCAGGCCCTGTTCAACCATGAGGGAGCCTCAGAAGAACAGTCATCGGTCGATAGAGATATACTCAGGGAAAGTTGTCCTGGAATGTGGAGCCAAGTTTATAGATTCACTGATGGCATCTGAAAAACCAGAGGATCAAGGCAGGCAATTGCTGTGAAGGTTAAGTATAAAGGCCATTACAGTGAAACAAGGCTTTTGGATGGATAGTGCTCTCCAACTACAGCTGCACTTGCAACAATGCAGTTATAGATCACAATAACGTGAAACATCCACACGGACAGACCATGTGCCAAGAAGTCTATGAATCTCAAAGAGCACATGGAGACTATAGAGAGCTGCAGGGAGGATGCATGTTTGTAGGCCAACCAGCAAGTTGTCATCGCACTGGTTCCCTCGCCAAAAAGCCAATGGGATTCTTGGCTTTTGGATTAATGCGGAAAATAAGCTCCTGTGGTAAACAAACGTTTATAAAAACGTACATGTTTTGTCCAGCAAGATAATCTTCACAACTGAACACCACTTTAATCCTTTTTGAAGCGTGAATGCAATCAGCAGAAGTAAAAAGTTCATGCTAGGCTATAAACAGACTACAACATGGTTACATGAGAGTGGGTACACACTGCAAGGCTGTAAAGGCGTTTTGTAGTAAGAACCGCTTTTTTAAAGACACGTAGAACAAAACATAAAAAGCTTGTTTTAACCACAGGCATCTAACCAAAAACATTCAAATAACCAGTTGACTTGGAGAAGAGGAACCGGAAGTGCAGAAACGCTGACTCATTTCTGGGTTTCGGGAGTCATTGCTGCAGCACTCTAATATTCTATAATTAATGAGTTATATTTGTGTATTCTACACTTGTGCTATTGTTAGCCTACATATGTTCATTTTCGAAAATTTTCCTCAGAAACCACATGCATATTTCAACCACTGTAATTAGGGATGCACATATATAAAGAAAAAAAGAATATTTGAAGAGTCAGAAGTCGGCTGAATTTAGAAGACTACAGCGGTTATTTCAATATGTCAGATACATGTTTAACCACATTTGAGAAATTGAAGTACCAGAGTAGACTCATATTGGCAGATACCCGATATTTGGACTATGATTGGGATCAGTACCAGAAGAAACTTGATCGGGACATCCTTATTTATAACAGGACATATTCACGACTGAATAAGTAGCACTAAAACTTCAATTCTGTATTCCCTATCTATTAGGCGTTCAAGGCGACGCACCCCAGACCTTGCGTGGAGCGCAATGCTCAACATGCTCAGTGCGAGGATGTTCTAGTAAATAAGACATTTGTCCTCCAGTCTGGATGGCCGCCGGCCAACAGGGAGCTGCCGTCCAATCAGCGTGACAATGAATAGCGCTGCCGTTTCCGAGACCTTGTTGAAAAACTCTGAGGCGAGATTTAAAGCCAAAACACGTCGTCACGACGGGAAGCGGCGTCTCCACGACAGGACAGATGTCAGTCCAAAGCCAGCTGCCATGCAAGTACTGTATATTGAATATGAAGTAAATAAAGCCTGGAGGTAATTGTCTTGTCTTTGGACCACCTGGCACATTTTTTCCTCCCCTTTCTGTCAGGTAGAGCTGACAGTCGCCACTCTGCTAATAGATAAACAATAAACTCGCCAAACCGAATGTCTTGAATACGATCTGCAACAAAATAAACACGAGGCCCGTACTCACCAGACCGAAGTCCCATTGTGGTCCTGGGGTGAGGAAGGTGAAGGAACTTCCTCTTTGCAGTGACCTGCACAACAACCGGAGGGGGAGGTCAAGATTAGAAAAGAAGTTCAATGCATCCTCAGCTACAAAACCATCTACAGGGCCTGCATGGTGCATCGGTGGAGCCTGAGCGTCATCACCAAAGGGTAATCCATCAAAACCCACCACCACTGTGAAGAACCATGATCAGATGGATCTAAACCCCCCAGTGGAGTCCACTCTGACCTGAAGTCACAGCCGAAGAGTGAGTAAAGCCGATGACTGAGGTGATAAGAGGGGAACTGTGACTCATGGAGCAGTGAGAAAGACATCATCCACCTCCCCCAGTTACCTACCACAGCCTCAGCATGGTGTCGCTTCAGCGCTTGTCCTCCAACTCAGATAAGGATCCTCCAAAGTCAGGGTGGGAAGGGGAACAGGACGACCCCCGGTCCACTTCCTTAATAAAAAAAGGCCTCAACTGCTAAGCTGTCCCCATGTGTTTGAAGAAGGAGTCCTTCTTTATCACCTTCCTTCCCCTCCCAACGATGTGGACATCGGCCAAATGGCTCTTTTTGCTGGGAAAGGGGACAGCCTTGCCTTTTTTGGGGAATCTCCACAGTGGGATTTTTCGGATAATCACCACCCCCCGCTATGCATACTGTAAATCCTTCTCACTATTTCACTCTGATGAAACATGAGGACAGTGTCTCACGACTGCCGTACAAGGCTAAGTGAGTGTGCAGCTTATGAAACTCAGTGAGCCTCGACACAGACTGTAGAGAGAGGACACTGTGTCCTGGTAGAGAGGCTTTGACATTATGGTTTGTTTTTGAGAAATAATGCTGAATGTATTCTTTTTTTGCAATAATTACAAATGCATATAATTTGCCTTTTAACATTTATTTATTTTTGGGTGTACTAGATATTTTTTTTTTTTTAACCCAATGACTGATGGAGTTAATGGAACTAAATACCTGATCTATTAAACCAAACTGCTGAACCTGATCAAATAAAAAGAAGGAAAAGGGAGAAAGCTGTCTGGCCATTGAGAAGGAATCCAGTGAAAAATGCATAAATATCTTTCAAGAGGCAACGATGCACATGTTGTAAAAACACAACTTGACAGTGAAAAGGAGGCTGCCTCGCCAGTTAGATTTCTGAATATTCAGTTTAAAGTGGATTCTTGCCATTTCTTTCTTTAATTACATTTAATTTTATTCATATTTTTCTTTTTCATTTCTAACAGTTTTTTAAATTTTGCCTCTAGGTCCCAGTATTTGCTAGAAACTGCAGTTTGTATTGACATTTTGACGTTGTGGTTTTTGTTTATAAAAAGTTTGGATTCTGGGAGCCAGAATTTGTGTTTTTTTTTTTTAAAGTTGAAGAAAAGCTACATTTCTAAGAAATGTAGATACCACAAATGAACTCTTGTGAAAATGCAAGTAGAAGTTGAAATGTTAAGACAACGTGGAGTGTGTTTAAGGGAACTATCACGCAACGACGGTGCATCACACTCAGCAGACATGACAGCACGCTGAATCAAAACCTCCTTGTTGCTCAGATTTCATAAAATATTATCTCACACATGATCATAAATGGTGTCAGGGTAGTTGATGATATTGCAGATGTATGTCTTGGGGGCCGGCGATGGCGGGACATAAAAAGGCACCAGCAATTTGAAGAATGCGGAGCTGCTCAGAAACACTTGTTCTGTGTGTGCGTGTGTGTCCGGCAAGTGTTGCTCCTAAGGCTGAGTCATTCCAGTTACACTGCCGCGCCACTAGCTACTACTGTTGCTGCAGTTGGCATCAATCTGTGGACACAGCCGACTGTCCATCTATAGTCAGCACTACGGGCAGCTGCAGCCTCCTAACAGTGGGCTGGGGAAACAAGTAGTTAACTCGATTTATTAAGCGGATTGATTAGGCAGCCATTTTGATGAGTGATTAATAGTTTAAGACATTTTTCTATCACAAATGTCAAACATTTTCTGGTTCCAGAAAATAATGAAAACAATCGTTTGTCCCAGTCTGAGTTGAGGTTACAAAACCATTTACAGTCTTTTACTGTAATGAAGTATTTGTACATTGGACACATTGTTTAGACAAGCTAAGGTGTTGCACCAAGTTGACAGAAAGGTTGGCCATTATTTACATATAATAAGGTTATAATCTTTTGTACCATCCAGGTAACAATATGTGATATTTTCACGTCAATATATGTTGATTTTTTACTGATTAATAGATCGACAGAGAACTAATCAACTATTTTGACAATCAATTAATAATTTCAGTGAAAACATTCTCTGGTTCCAGCCAAATGCGAGGATTTGCTACATTTCTTGAAATTATATAGTTGAAAACGAAATATCTTCTGGTGTTGGACTGCTGATCAGATAAAACAAGACATTTGAAGAGGTCGCGCTGGGAAATTGGATTTTTTGGTTTTTACATTTACAGACGCTAAATCGGAATAATAACGGTCAGGTTAACTGACAATGAAAACAATTTTGGCCCAGTTTTAGTCGAGGCTCCACAATCATTTACGGCCTTTTTCTGTAATGCAGTATTTGTACATCAGACCCATTGAACGTCATTGACCAATCCATTTTTGCAGTTGCTATTGAAAAGAACCCCATGCTGCACAACAGTTTGTGTCAGACTAATAGAACAGAACTGGGAAGCTGAAGTCCACCGTTGCCAAATCAGCCACCACTAGCAACTCTCAGTGGTTAACAAACGATCCCTACAAAACCACAGTAACAAAGCTCACATGTGACCACAAACCAGAAGTGTTTCACACCACTGTAGCCCAGTAAACTAAACTACATCACAGACAGGTTTGACTGTAGAGACAATGAAATGAAAAGGGGAGGGAGGCAGACATGTCCTGTGGAGCTCAGTGGGCTGAACAGAGCACCGACTCGCACTAATGAACTAAGTGAGGTTTCCTGTTGGGACCACCCATGCTGGGTGCACCGATGCTACTGTAAGGTGTTCAGGATAAACAGCATGTGTTTGCAGAATGACAAGAGAGGAGGAAAATGAGAAGCTCCCTGGGTGTCCCGGAGGCAAGTCAGGGGTCAGAGGTCGCTGCAGGTGTTGTTCAGACTTATAACTGTCAGAGTGCTGCATTAACTTGACGCTCCTGCACAAGAAGCGTCTTCAACCTCCAATTTTGGACACTCAACATGTCAGTCTTTAAACTTCCAGAGAAGGCGATCGACTGCTTGTCTTCGGTGGTGAACAGATGACAGATCTATTTCCCAAAATCAGATTCAAATGGAGGGTGATCAGCAGATTGTTGCTCGGATGTGCACCAAAGAAATATGTTTTCTAAAGTCTTAAGTCTGTAGAATAATGACATTTTTGTATTTTGCCTTTTACTAATACTGTACTGCGATTTGAAAACTGCAGTATGCCTTATTGCAATTTCAATAAAAGAGTGAGATTAATTGTGCAGCCCTACTTTAATGCTCTCACTTGCACTTTTGACGACCTAGGAACCGACATTCACTCTGCTGATGCACACCCCTGGTCTCTGTAGATACAAGCGTTAAATGACTAGCTGAAATATTGTAAATTGTGAAATAGTGGCTGACATATTGACCTGGCTAATGTATCAGTGTAGCTAGGGCTGGGCAATACATCGACATCATATATACATATACATATATAGTAAGTAATTGTGAAAGATTTGTTTATCTCCCTTTTTCTCATGTTGCTTAACATGCAGACATGAGCCTCCTTTTTAAGGGCTTTAATAGAAACAGAAACTGGCACTGCTTATTTAAATAATAAGCCCTCTTGTATTTTATCATGTTGGAGTTGCCAGTTTAAACCAACAGTTTTACACAAAGTGAACTGTTGCTTACATTTTGTATTGTGCTGCAGTATGCAATGACTTGCAGCTTGTCAGATCAATATTAAGTTGAATGAATTGGTCAATTTGATTTTTTTTAGGAAAGTAAATCATTGAGATGAAATCGGTAAAACAGTCAATAAATGAATGGATAGAAAATTAGTGGTTAGTGGCAGCCGTGCTGGAACACATCCTCCTCACTTTCTCTTGATCTCATGTAGAATTCTATGGAAGTCAAAGAGGTTAAGATATGAAATAATTCCCATACAATCACAGTGAGTGATCGTGTAAGGTCATCATGTACCGTAGCTGTTAAAGCTGTATTGAAACATAGTTAAGAGAGAAGCGGGGCTGCTCACTGGCTGACGGTAAAGGCAGAGGCTTCTGTCCAATGGGCAGGACTTCCAGCGGAGTGAGGCTGGGCCACACGCACTATATGACGATTGTCGTATCATAGGGCTTTCGGCCAAGGCCAATTTCTCACACTGGCATAGAAAGGCATGCTGGGAATCCCTCTGGGAGACTAAAGACTGCAGCAATTAAACATGACCGCTCTTCCGCTCATCGACTTAATGTCTCACTGCTGAATCCTAACAACTGTTAGATGTTTGTCATAAAAGAGTCCGAGGAAATAAGCTCATCGCCTACAGGTCGGCAGTATGAAAATAAATAAATAATAAATAACTAAAGGCTGCATTAATGTGGGCATCTTGCCAAGGCGATGAAATGTGATCTAGAAAGTCCAGAAATGGAATGCTTATTAGATGTCAAAACAATACCTGGTGTTACAATTCTAGAAAGCTTTCATGCTATGAAGCAGTTGTACTGCGGCAAAGAAATGAACCAGGTTGAATTTTATTAGCTTACCGGGACAGTCATTCTTTTATTGTTATCAGAATGTTCTGGCAGCGGACAGCTTCGCCTTTTTTGGGACTCCACGGTGTGATTGTCCAGACTGAACACACCCCAAACCAGCCGTGAGTACTGTTAATCCTCCTCATGTCAAACAACTTATCTTCAGCCTGTGTAATCAGTAACCAATTTTAGTTTGAAACATTAGAAGAATGAACTAACTTCATCAGTAGAATGCGATGATGGTAGTATATTGTGTTGCAGAGATATCTGCTGAAATGAGCATGCTAACCAGCTAGCCTCCTGTCTTGTAATACCACTCTTACCTCGAGAGGAGATAGTGAGTCGCAGTAGCGGCCAGTCTGTCCTCAGTCCAACATGAGAGGACCAAGAAGTAGAACGTTGAAGGTTGAGGTTCCGTGTACATTTTCATAGTTTGTTTATTGGATTAAATCCAAAGTGGCAGAAACTAGAAAACGACTTGTACTTGAAACGACTTTTCGCTTAGTCCTCCCCGCTGCCGGGAGACAGACCTAACCTAGATTGTATGGACCCAGTAGTAAAGGTGAAATGCTGCCACCCTGAGGACAATCACACAACACGTCACACTCAGCGAGTGGATGAACACGGCAAGAAGACAAACATCAAAGCAGTGCTTAGCCTCCGTCTCATACCTACGATCATTTTGATTTGTATGGAAGCACTATTTCACACTGATGAAACATGAGGACAATGTCTCACGACTGCCGTACAAGGCTAAGTGAGTGTGCAGCTTATGAAACTCAGTGAGCCTCGACACAGACTGTAGAGAGAGGACACTGTATCCTGGTAGAGAGGCTTTGACATTATGGTTTGTGAAAAATAGACACCACTTGTATGCAGAATATTTATGACACCAGTTTGAAAAAAGATAAAAGAAAAACTATATTTCTAATAAATGTAGACACCATATCTATTATCATTAATAGATAACAGATTTCATATTGTAATTTCCTCTTATACTACAGTAGAAATTTAGCATTTTAAATACAAATTAAACATGTAAAAGCTGACAAGATAAACCATGTGACAAGCTAGTTTTATCTTTATTTTAACTTTAGGCCCACACTGCTTTCAGGGAGTTTATGGCTGATTTTGAATGATGTTGAAGGTGTGCAGGGCTCTGATCTCTGCCGTCTATAGATTGCTATCTAACTTTAAAGAAAGGAATCTGTGTCTGTCTGTGTGTCCTTTATACATCTCCAGAACTGCTCATCTGATTTAACTAACTCTTAGCGGTTGTACTGCTTGGTACCCAAGGACGTGCAGTGTGCACTCTGGACACAAGACACGTTCAATATTGATACACCTTATACAAACAAGCGACCCGCGCTTTGTGCAGCAGCGGGGGCGGAGCTTCATGGTGCTCACAGCGGGCCTTTAAAACCCACGGCTCATTGGCTGCAGTTCACTTTTGCTGCTGGATTTACTAACGCTGAAGCCAAACTCTTCTTCACTTCCGCTTCAAAGGGGCACGCGCAACAAAAGGGCCTAGTAGCTGTTGGTGAGATCTTCCCATGGATCCTTTATATCTTTTCAAAGAGAGAGACACCAAACCCTCTGCTTACTCTCTGTCCGCAACATGTAGACGGACCAGGTGACAACCTTCGGTTCTGACGTAGTGAAGTGAAGCCAAAGTGTCTTAAAACTCTAAAAAAAATTCTCAGAGTCACCAGCCAGGGGACAAAGGTCTTCTCTACCCCCGTACCTGCTCTTACATGTTGAGGGAAGTGTGGCCCATGAGTCAGTGGATTAACATCCCAGTTAGCCCTGCCCTTGTTTGTTAAAGTTGACTCTGAAACTGAAACACCCCAGCGCTGACCCCGTCCATCCTCCTGTGTCTTCTCTACCGATACTACAGAAGGCATGCACAGGAGCGCTCAGACATGCCGTTTTCATGGCGATAGTATCATACCACAGGGAGCATACTACTGTTGTATCTATTGTTACATGAAGTGAACTTCATTGCACTAGAACGTTCCCAGTTTTGAGGCACAAACCCCACCGAAAGAATGTATAACTCTGTCTCCGCCCATTCAACGTGCCGTTTTAACTAAAGTGCTTTACATGGACAGAAAACTTTTGTTTATTTCTGTCCAGTCTAGTATTTAATGCCAGTCTTGGGAAATCAAAACTTATTTTCTCTAACTCAGCATTTATGCTTCCCCCCCCCCATAAAGCTTGTTATGGAGGTCAAATATCGTGTGATGGTTTTCCATGTTTGTCTGCAGAGCCGGCTGGGCACTGGGTAGGACCACTTTGGCACACAACATGGAAACCTTTGAAAAGAGTCCAGTATAAACTCTCGCAGGGGTTTGTAATCCCAAAAACATTCTGATTGCTGTTATTGTATGTTAGCCGCCAGTCTGAAAACATACCAGATAAATCTCACTGTACTGACTGACACAAATGAGCTCCGGGATGCTATTTAAGAGCCGGTCACATTTATGTCCAACGAATTAAAGAGAATACCTGAAGGTACAATAAGTGTTTGTGTTGCCATGATCCAGAATCACGCTCATAACGAACTGGTATTGCTGTTAGTTAGTTTTAGGGATTTTACTCAAAGAATAGGTTCAAAGTCTGTCTTAAAACAACACGCACACGATGTGTCAAAGATGTATTGTTTTTATATTTTTTTATGTTTATTTGTACATTCTATGTATGTACGTTGAGAGCAACGTGAAAACCTGGTATTGGTCGCTGTAATCCAATAAATATTTTGATGATCCCATTTTAGCAAAACCACATGATGGGGGACAGAAATGCAACCTAAAGTATTTTTGTAAATAATGATTTCTTTAATCAAACAGGTTTTTACTTGCAGTGAAGGGACAGTGACATACACTAACTGTTTGTATGCACATATGGAGGTCATGTGAGGGTTGTTTTAAGCATTTTCAAACATGTGAAACTATCCTTTAATAAAACTTTTTAATAAATGATTCACTATGTGGTTTTTGGATCTGAACCCGTTTTGTTTGTCAAGACTTAAAAACGAATTAATATCAGTTGACAGAATAAAAATCAGTGCATCTGAATAAATATTAATAATAACACAGATCCAAACCCGCTGAGCCATAAAAAAAAAAAGATAATAATAATGCTCCAGAGTAAAACCAGAATCTCCCCCAAAACTATAAATAATATATATAGATACCACATTTCTAACAAGACGCATATAAAAGCAGACAAAGCAACTCAAATACAACAACAAAGAACAGGGATCAACCAGTGGAGGCCAAGGCCCGCAGTGGCTCTTTGCTGACATCTAGTGGCGATTTGACGCAACCGGAAACAGCTACACGCAGTTCAAAAAGCATGTAAAACAGCCTCGCATGTATTTGGAGAATTTATAAACTTGTTAGAAATGACTGCTCATACTCCCATGGCTATTTCTCAGTTTCAAACCCTTCGTTTAAAGACAATAGTTCGCTAAGTAACGTTAATGTACCGCTAATTGCAGGAATAAAGGCATGCTAGCCACCTTTAGCTCAAATGTGAATGTTAACCGGGACTAATTAGCAAACACTGTTTGACACTGACGGGTGTATGTGTTTTTTTCCTTTAGTTTGGTTAACGCTACTGCAGCTGTAGTGAGTTTCATTCAGAGTCTGAACAGAAAAGACGGACTCACCGTCTCAGACTTCTGCTGTGGTTCTGGAGGAGAGACTCTTCCTCGTCAGCTGAAACCTTCCTCTTCAGGCTCCCGGAGCTCGGCTGTCTTTTTGGTTTTTCTGAAGTCGAAACGTGAGCTCGGGCTTCACCGGTTTCACCCATTTGAAATGTCACAGACCAGGGGCAACTAGTTAGACAGAATAATAACAATACATCTATTCTACGACTCTACCACAATAGCAGAGGCTCGTCACTGTTTTTTGAATATGGCGGAAATCCACAAATCGACCAATGAGAGGAGAACAGATGAGCTCGTTGACAGGATATTACCCTTAAATGGGCGGGGCCAGAGTAGTTCAACTTCAGGGCAGATAACGCAACACAACCGTGTCATTTTGGAGTGATTATAATGCAATATAATAATGCAAAAGAGTCACAGTATTAATGCATTTTTCCTTCAGCATTCAATCAGCAAGTCACAGGATATATACTTAATCACCAGTGCCTATGGGTTTTTGTGATTCAATTATTTCTATTCCTATATATATATCCATATAAAATAAAACAAAAGAAAACATGTTACTTATCAGGCCATGAGCCAAAGTAACACAGTGGACTTTTGACTTTGGCTTGGCATTGAACATGTGAAGCTGTAGCGGGTTCGAGTCTCCAGATACCATTTTACAGCTGGTCAGACAGAGAGTGGTTGTCCTACTAGAACAGTTATCCCCAAACTTGTGGATGTACCACTGGTAATACTAAAAAGACCTAGAAACTGCACTCTATGTGGCGCAATTCCTTGACTTTACACATACTACAATTGTTGTATTCTATAATATTTTCACATCACATTGCAATGATGTAAAAATTATTTGTTAATCATTTCAATATTTTTAGATAAAATTTGGTTGGACTTCATGTCACGTCTGACATGGCGTGACCTATGATTGGTAGTCAGATCTGGAGTCCTCAGTCGTTGATTAAAGCAGAATGAGTGGAATTTTGAAATGGCTACAAGGTTCAAAGAACAGTCAAGGTTGTGACAGTGCTGGCTCTGACAGTTCAAACTGTGAACACAGATAGAAACGTTCAGCATAGTTTCAACATGAAACTCAGAACAAGGTCTGTGGATTATCTTCAGTAACCAGGTCTTAAATATCTGGAAAGAGACACTGGCTAGGCAACTCACACCAAAACTATCTAGATTGTAAAATAGCAATACAGGTATGAGGGAAAATATGGATTTTGGGGTGTAAACTGTCCCTTTCAACCTTATTTGATTCTACAGAAAGTGGAATCAAGTGGCTTAAAGTCTCAGCTTCTCAAGATGAACTACAATTATTGATAGTTTGAGAAATACAAACGGAGACGGTCTTTGGCCTCTTTGGCTTCTCAGACAGTTTCTCGTGATTCCCATTATTTTATAGGTTTTGGTCTTCAGCGAGCTTTGTGCACCCATTTACGTGTATCAGATGGAAAGAGCCCATTTGGAAAGAGAATACAAAACAGACTCCCTGTTATTTTCATACTGTAGAACTTCACTTGTAGAAATATTCAAACATTAAAAAGTAAAAACGAATTATTTGTTCACTAAATTCATTGAGCTTGCTGACTCTGAATTAAGCTTGTGGCTGGTCCCAACGTTTCTGCCAACACAGCAATACACCCTTCAGTATCTAATCTCCTCTGACTTTGGGCACTTCTGCACTGCTTAATACTGTATTATTGTGGTCGTAGTCACAGTAAACAACGTCCCCTTTAGATAATCACCATAGCGATTCATAGATCAACAACATACAAAGAACCATGAACAGATAACTCCTCCCCCTGACCTGCAGTCTCTTCCCTGGGACATTTATTCTCATGTAAAGCCTTGTGGTCAGGTTCATTTTCTCCTCTTTCTGCTATCTCTACTGTGACTCCGTCATCTGCTTTAATGTAAAAAATTTCATGAGTTACAGGAAATAAAAACACATCAAAGCATTGTCAGGGGAAATGTGCTTTATTGTAAATTTTAAAAAGGTCTTTTCTTTTACATGGACCAGCTCAATAACCATAAAGGCGTATTCTGTGACTTCGATCAGCCTCTAGTGGTGGTCCGCGGGAACTGCAGTAACATTGACTTGTTGCTGGCAGTGTAAATGACACAGGTCATGAACTCCCATCATTTATTATATTAATAGAAGACACAAGTAATATTTATTAGAGCTGAGATCACGTTGTTATCCATGATTGGTAGAAGTTAGAAACAACATCCGTGAGTGGCCTTCAAACTCCTGATGGATCACTTCCAGCTTGAGTCCAGGAACAAAAAGGCCGTAGTTACTTTCTCCTGCTCGTCCTGCGCTTTGCTGAAGACTCACAGATGCATTGATCCACAGTTTCATAACCGATTTCAAATGGTGCTAGACGGTTGCAGCGGGCTCTATGCACCAGAAGAAATCAGTTATCTTTTAGAGGAGAAAGAGGAGGAGGAGGAGGAAGGACAGTCCTGCGCTTGTCCTCCTGAGGCTCACTCACTGCCGGAGCTGTCCTCCTGTCCTCAAGAACACTGATTTCAAATGGTGCTAGACAATGGGAACACACATCTAAACCACCATGTGAAACCAGCTTCTGGGGGAAGACGTTTTTGTGGTGCCACAGCTGCAGCGGTGAGATGAGTTAGTCACTAGTTCCATCTATGTATTTTTAATATATTGTATTAGCTCCTTAAGGAGAATAAGGGGCTAATACGGGTCTGTTACCTTATTGGCGATGGCATGCAGTTGAATCCTCACTCAACTGTACAAAGTATAATTGTTTGACAGAAGATAGCTTCATTATTCTATCTGTGTAAACCATCGTCCCAATATCACAGTGATGACAGTCGCTTATTTTCTGACAGGAGTGAATGCAGAACAAAACAAAGCATTAAAAGAAAAGTAGGGATTAAAAAACAGTTGTTTTTTTTGTTTTGTTTTTACCATTTTTGCGCCACTTTGAATAAATATATGGACGAATTAATCCATCACGGATCATGACAGTAATCCAAAGGGTTCAAGAGCATTAACAGTTTCATTTCAAGAATGTTATATTGGATACAAGTAAAGGAAGGGATTAATCAGGAAAGGAGAGTTGATGGAAAAATAAATAAGTAAATAGTGAATAAGTAAGTCGACAAACAAATAAATACTTTGTAAATTACCTTAAAGTAAGGTAATTGACAAAAAATATCATTAATCAATGTCCACTTACTGGTTTGACCGGAGCTTTCGCTCGCGTGTCATTTGCCGATGAAGACAGTGAGATCCAGTTGAAAGCCTCGACTAAGAATATCTTAAATGAAGATGCATTTAAAGAGACAGTGTGTAGTCTATTTAGTGGTGTGGTTGCAAATTGAAAAAGACAGCTAACTGAACTAGCAGTACACACACTCTGCTGCGTACCTCTCGGCCGCCGCTCTGCTGCTCACTTTTAGTGTTTTGGACGGTATGTTTGGCTAATCGCTAACAGCTAACGGAACTACCAGCACACACACTGCTGTACCTCGCCACAACTCAGCCACTGCAAAGCGCGAAGAGAGCTTGGTGAGTTTAATTTTGTTTGTATGACGTGTCTTATACAACGACTTCTATCCGATTGCCTGCATCCATCGACGCTTGTTTTTGAATTTCAATGAAGTGCCTTTTACGATGCCTTGAAGCCTATTGGTGTCTAGACGAGGGTTTAGCCAATTGAGGGTTGTATTCAGAGATCTGCCCTCTACCGAGTGCATCTTTCTAGGTATTACTAATGCTACATAATAATATTAATGACAGCCAGATACTGTGCATATTAAGGCCTATTCTTTGTCTAAAGTACAACACGATAATATAAAAAAATTCAACCACAACAGGGACACTAAGAAAAGCTATGCTTCAAAAACCCACACATCATTGGTCGTCACCCTTTACTTAAGACCGACATCCTCCCTGCAGTACGTCCTCTGTCAGCACATGAGCCGTCAAGTCAGAGGAGGAAAAATGTGACAGCGCTTCTTATTCAGAGTAAATTTGTCTCAAACATGAATGTGGTTGCTATGGCAGCACGGCGGCATGGACAGCTGGCACGTGAAAATTCGCCTCCAGCAGCACGGAGGAATTCAAACGGAACATACATCACAGCAAACAAGGCTGACAACGTACGACAGCTCAGAGCTGGTGTTGTCAGCGACATACTGAAGCGCGGTCTCATTTTAGACATCACAAACACATGTATTTATATAATGATGTGAGTGCAGAATGATGTGTGCTGACTTTGTTCTAAACCACGTTTGGGCACTCAGCCTTATCCTCGCTGCCATTGATGATAAGGAAATACAATATTCTATAATAATATACAAAAAGATAACCCTGGCTGTATTTTTAAACGTCATATTTTCCGTTTTAACTCCACAAGAGAGGCTTCCACATTGTGGGGGAATACAGTACTACGCAGTGGATGTGCTAGTTGTGAACAGAGCATATTTCAAACACAACAGAAAAACAACATCTGTAACCCAACAAAGGAAAGTAGTTAGATGATGGTATGCTTGCCTCACATAGCCAGACCTTACCGCTAAGGAAAGGCCTGATTCCGTACATTATCATTCTAATGTAGACCCTTTTACAGTCTGTTAACAATGACGACCAATGTATGTGTATGCACGTAGTTTGGCAACAGAATGCCAGTTAACCACCAAAGATGGCGAATGCAATGTAAAGGAGTCTATAGATTGGGGGGGGATACTTTGGCATAACCAATCATAATTTTCTTGGCCGGCGCCAATCAGCAACGAAGCCTTTGCGAGATAGAAACAATGGACCCCTCTGTCTGATTTACCTCATGGCTGCTGTCAGAGGATGCAGCTTCATATTTTGTTTCTCACCTTTGTCAATATTGTGTCCAAATAATCTTTATGGGAAATGTCAATTAATAACGAGGGGTTTCATGCTTACGTTGGTCTGCACGATGTGAGCATAAAAGCCGCTGGCTCTGGCAGAAAGGCAGATTAAAACTGCGACTGTTGTGCGAGTTCATGCAATGTAGTAGATTAATACAATCGCAGTGTCTGTCCAGTTTAAGAAAATCAGTGAGATCACTTTTTTAAGTGACAAAATCGTTAAAAAATGTCAGATTTATCCGGTATGATAAGGAACTTGTTGAGTCTATTTGCATTGTGCCACCCAGCTGGCGATTCCTCCCCACTGGCTTGAAGAAAATAATCGGATCTCAGACGTCAACGCTGGCTCACGTGGCTTGTCACACAGCTCCGTGTCCTCCGTGACATACGAGCAGAGGACCACATCCAGCTGGAGGAATGTACAAACAGTGGCAGGGTGTGTGTGTGTGAGTGTGGTGTCTCGTGTCACAGCACAAAGACCTACGTGCGCCATCCATCTGTGGAAACCGGCGCCCGGCACTTATGTAACCGGCCATCGTCATGACAACAAGGCTACGGTAAATGCCGCTTTGTCCCAGCGGCTCTTACAGGTGTTTGAAGGGTGTGAGATGACCCATAACGGCTGATGAGTGAGAGGGTGGGGTCAGCTGCAATGGTTGGACAATCTGTATTTGGGGGTTCAGTGGACGAGGAAGAGGCTGGACAGCGTCTCACAGCTGACCTAACCAAACAGATACGACCCCCCACACCGACATCCACTTAAATCCACCACACAATATTTTGCCATGCTGTCACATGTGGTTGAACACTGCCTCAATCCTGTGATTCTGCTCACTGGCACAAGAGGGCGACATTACATCTAGAAGCTCCCGTGCAACCCTATGATAAATGGTTACTATGGTGATGTGGCTGTATGTGGAGGGGGATGGGAGGGGGGGGGCTCTCGTCTCGTCCGCCCTTAGTTTAGGGAGGTCAAAGGTCAGGGTCAGCTGTAATCGTCCTTGCAAGCCAACACATAGAGTCAAGTCTCAACATCACATGTGACATTCACAAATGTTCCTGTTATTTTGTCAGTTTTATGATAATAAGCTGTGAAAAATAACAGTGATATGTAAGTAAAGACCCCTCCCCCCCACACACACACATGTAGTTAAAGGCATTTCAGTGTAAGGCAACGTGTTTTTGTGTATAAAATACGAGCAAATATGAGGACAAATATTCTAAACACTGTTATCAGAGACTCAAGGTTGCATTGTTACATGCAATGATGAACCAGAGAATTATATTGAATTATGACAAAAAAATGTCCTCACTCTCAGGGTTTTTAAACTCAAGTTGGTCCTCACAAAGATAGCTGTACAAGTATTGCGCACGCACACACACACACACACTCCTTTTTGCTGTGAGGGGAGAAAGGCTCCCTTGTGGAGGTGAGGCGAGCGCTTGTTGTTGGTTCTCACTCCGACTTCCTGTTCTATTCTCTCCCAGGAAGTGACAAACAGAGACACATACACACACACACACACACACACACACACACACACACACACACACACA